CTTTATTAAACTCTTATGCTTTTTTTACTTTGGGGGCAATCACTATGACGTTTTTTCTTTTCTACTCTTTCCCCTTTAATTGTTTGTTGCTGCACTCTTCCTGTGAGGGGTGCCGTGTGTTTCCGCCCAACTACTCCACTCGCACACCCACCGACACGCTCATGACGACGGCCCTGTGCGCCTCGCCTGCTGCACGCATGAGGAGGGGCCGCGACGAACGGCGCGCTGAGGGAGCCGTGACGTGTGGGCGTGCGACGAGGGCCTGTGGGCGGCGCACGCATTTCTTCCCTCCTGTTTTGTTTTCTTGCGGCCAGGGCTGGCAGACACCCGCAGCGCCACACACACAGCCACACCCTGCCGCCGTGTTTTTCTTTAAGGATTTTTTTTGCTTTGCGTGTTTATTTCATGCGGTGGCGCACACTTCGGTGTCGGCCTCGTGAGCATTTCTCTCCCCTCCGATGATTTCTTTTTCTTTTGCTGCGCTCACTCTCCCGATGGAGTGACGCGACTGCCGTCATGTCTGCGTGCTTCTCTCAGTCTCCACACACACGAGTGGCTGTGCTCTGCGGGCCGCACTCACGCGCCGATGAGAGGGCTGCGGGGAGCAGCAACACGCAGATGACCCCGTGAAATATAAACGATGTGCGGACACACGGAGGGTCAGACGGTCGAAGCACACGCAACCATCTTTTTAATTTTCTTTTGCGGGCAAAATACATACAGATAGTTTGGTGTGGCCACACGGCAGCCAGGCGATTTTTTTCTTATTTTAAATTTGTGTGGAGCAGTAATGGACGATTTCTTTTCATTTATAATTATTTTGTGTGATGGGGTTTACATAAGACGAAGGGGGACGTTTTTTGTTTTCAATAAATATTGTGTGAATTGCCGCTGCTTGGGCTGCAGTGCAGTCATGAGTTTGAGCGGTCTTCTTGTTGTTGTTTCCGTTATGCGTCTCCGCTGTACATTTTGTGCGTCGCTCCACATACTCTGCTCCCTCTTTTCCACGTCTTTGCTTTGTGTTGCTGCAGGCACACACAACCACACACACACAAGATGCACGTTGCAGTGGATATGAATGCACCTTTTGTGGTGCATGCTGGCAGTTGCGTGTGGCGGCTGTTGTCTTCTTCCGTGGCCATGAGGAGAGGGAGAGAGGGAGCGCACCCGGAGACTATTTTCCTGCGGGTGTGATGCACCGCGTGTGACTGCGCTGAGTTGGGCTCCGTGTCCCATTGATGGCGGGATGGCAGGAAATTTTGTGCCGCGTGATGGATGGATGAGGGTTCGCTTGCTCCGTGTGCGCCGTGTGGTGGCCGCGGTGTTTTGCCATTTCCCTGGGGCTGCGGGAATGAGCTGGGGGAGATGGTGGTGGATGTCTTCTCCTCCTGCATGGTGGGTGGCTGCTGGCGTTGTGTGCCTTCCTTGCGTGGATGCCGTCTCGTGGTGTGTGAACTGTGCGGCTGGGCCTGCTGCCCTCTCCTCATGTTGTCTGCGCTCTCTCGCTGTATCCGCTGTGCTCCGTCCCTCTCCCTCTCGTTCCATTCTTTTCCTTCCGTCTCACCGATCAGCTGACTGACACCGGCGACTCCACTACGGGCGATGATGACTGCGATGGTGACGGTGCGGCGCCGTGTTGGTCCTTGCGCTCTTGTGCTGCTGCCGCTCGTCCGTGTGCGTGACGGTGACAGGAGACAATAATAATGATAACAGCCGTCCTCCCAGCCCTGAGCTAGGGAAACCGGATCCTACAAGAATATGCCTGGTGCACTACAGCCATATGGTGGGGAGACCGGTGTGCCAGAGAGAGAGAGTGGGAGAGACAGCGAGGAGGGTTTGAGAAGTCCAGGACCTTCGTTGCAAAGGAAGCAGGCACAGCCATCACTGGACAGACACGAGTTCCGCCAGAGTCACTGAGTTCGGCTAGCGATAATCCAGAGCCACCAGGTTTGGCAACTCAGTCTCCACACACACACAAGGCGCGACCGGTATGTCAGATGCACAAAATAAAAGGAGCAGTAAAATACACGAGGCGATGAAAATCATAAGGCACGGATATCAAATCAGAAGATCAAAATGCCAAATAGTACCATCAATAAGACTACAACAACGCTTTGGCTCAACCGACCGCCTCAACGTGGTGCCGGGGTGCAGTACTCTTTGCTAGCGAGGAAGCTAAGCGCCTGCTGCCCATCTGCTGCCCGCGGAGAGGTGGCGGACGCCGAACAAACGGGTCGGAAGGGCACCAGATGGAGCCATTTGTAATGGTTGTCCGCTGAGCGGTGTTTTCATCCGCTGCTGAATTCCATCGGCGCTTATCAGTGCTATAAATACCGTTTGCGTGCCGTATGTGACGCGCAACGACAAAAGCTACTGCTAAGCGGAGGCATTGAGCAGCACCCAGGCCCCATAGCAGTACTCCAGATGAACTTTTCTTGCCTCACGCCGTCAAAACTCGCAACATTAATGGCGCAAGGAGCAGACATAATAGCCATCCAGGAGACTTGGAAGTCGTCGGAGCAGATCGCCAGCATGCACACTGGAGATTATGTGCTCTATGCACAGTCGCGCATCGGCAAGGGAGGCGGTGTGGCGGTGCTGGTGCGTACGACTCTCCGCTCCAAGCGTATACCTCTCACCATCCCCCAGCATGACACCAGCCTTGAAGTGGTGGTGGTCCAGGTTGCTCTGGACCAGAACCGTGATCTTATTGTAGCGAGTGCCTATATGAGACCACCACCGCAAGTAACGCAATCCTTCAGGCGGTTAGTAAACTGCCTTCCAGCCTCGTCGCCGCTCCTGCTGTGCGGGGATTTCAACACGCATCACCCACAGTGGGAGCCATTCTTGGAGACTTCTCCAAGCGAGGTTGCCGCAGCATTTTTAGAACTGTGCACGGATGCGGGACTCACCTTGGTTAACACCCCTGGTGAGATCACGTATGCCCGTGGCACAAGAGAACGATCCTGTATCGATCTGACATGGTCAAAGCATCTGACTGTGTCGCCGCTTAGTGATCATTATATGCTGACATTCACGCTGCATCAGGCGTTTAAGGATACCATACCTTCGGCACCTAGGATATTCCACAGTTGGGGGAAGTGCAAGTGGGATTTATTCGTCAAGGACTTCGACGCACAACTTCCGGCATACGACTATAAAAAGCTGTCCACCGGCATTAAGGCCTTCACGAGAGCGCTTATAACTTCGTATCGACGACATTGCCCCCGCGGCATGCACAAGGACGGTCCCAGGCTTCGGGACGACACTCTCATGGAGGCCGAGCGGATTGCTGCCGACAGCAAGGCCCGCTATCTGCAGTTACCGACGCCCGACCGTGAGGCAGAAATGCAACGGACAAGGAGTCAATTCTTCCTCCTACTCCGAGAGCGCTTGCGCAACACGTATCCACGTCGCATCAGCAAGTTAAATCCAGGCGAGCCACTCGCATGGAAATACATTTCCGGACGAAAAAAGGCACCACTTCCATCTCCCACATCAATTTTGTTAGGAGATGGTCAACGCACTTACAAAACAGCAAGGAGAGCAGCGAATGCTCTCAATCGCATCTTTCTTCCACTTCACCCCTCTCAAAGGGCAGTAAGGCCTTCGAAAGGCATCAACAGACGGAGTGCATCTTTGAGCATTAATGCTTCTTTTATTTTTGGACCACAGAACAGCAACGAGTCTATCTTTACATTTACATCAGGGTTTTGTCACTGCCCTCTTGATGCACCTTTTAATTCTACGGAACTGCTTGCTGCGCTACGTAATACGCCGTATGGCAAGGCCCCCGGACCGGATGAAGTCCACAGTGAGGCACTGCGACATATTTCGTCAAAGGGCCTCCGATTCCTTCTTCGCCGCATTAACCACAGCTGGACGACCGGTACGATTCCGGCTGAGTGGAGAAGCGCTACCATCGTTCCACTCTTAAAAACCGGCAAGTCGCCGGAACTGCTTGAGTCATATCGACCCATCAGCCTTACTTCCATTGTGAGTAAGGTTGCTGAGAAAATGGTACTGAAGAGATTGCTTTGGGTGTGGACGCCACACCCCCACCAGTATGCATATCGTAGTGTGCGTACCACGACGATGCAGCTGGCACACCTGATACACGAAGTGGAGCATAATAGAAATCATTATTTCCAAGTGAGCCTTCCCGAGAAGAGCGGTATTGGCAATCAACTCCACTACAGACCCCATCGGACCCTGCTGGTGTTGGTTGACTTCAGCAAGGCCTTTGACCCCATAGATCATCGAGTCCTCAGTCGCTTGCTGGCTAATATTCCGGGGGTGAATTGTAGAAGGTGGCTTAGAAAATTTCTATGTGGTCGCTACGCGAGGACACGAGTTGGTCACAGACACAGCGATCGGCGTCCCATGCTGCGAGGAGTTCCTCAGGGGTCCGTGCTGGGACCGTATTTGTTCTCCCTTTACGCACACCCACTTCTCAATCTGCTGAACAGCTTTGCGGGTGCCACAGCAGACATGTATGCGGACGACCTCTCTATTATCGTTAGGGGCAGTCCCGGGAACACGCCATTCCCACTGCCAACATGGTTCTTAAAAAGTTGCATGCGTGGAGTCAGGAAAATGGCCTGGCCATCAACCCGTCAAAGCGTGAAGCTGCTTGGTTCACACTCTCCACGCACACGGAGTCAGATTATGATCGTGAAGGAAGGTGGCCCCTGGTAGTGGCTGGATGTCAAATCCCAGTCATGACCATGGGGGCATCGCGAACTACGAAGCTTCTCGGCATGGATCTCGATCCGCGACTGACGCTAAATGTGGCGGCCACCAAGCAATGCGCTGCCACTTCGCAACGGATATCGCAGCTACGCTGCATAGCGCATAAAGAGGCGGGACCATCTCCACATGACCTACGCACGTTCATCATCGGATATGGTGCTTCCAAATTACGCTATGGCAGCGAGCTCATATGGGCAGTAGCGACGGATTCAGCGAAGAATGAGATGCAGAAGACATACGCAACTCTGGCACGCATTGTCAGCGGAGTTCCGAGCACTGTCGACCCGGAGTCCGCGCTACTGGAGGCTAATATGCCGCCGCTCCACGTCCTTTGCCTGCGCGTGCGGCTCTCAATATTTGAGAACACACGCGCATGTCAGATGGACTGGATGCGGAGACCCCCGCCTGAGCCACCGCCTCGCGCTGTTTTACGCATCTCGCCATTATCTCGGGACGAGCTATATGCCTTTGTAGACGCATACACAAAGGACTATGGCATCACTGAGAGCTCACCACGCGAAGAGCGGTTCTTTCGCAGCTCCATTCCTCCCTGGTTTGCGGCCTCCGCTCACCGGGTCACCATCGCCGTGGAACTTCCGATAGACCTCTCAATAACTGACGAAGAAGAGCTGATACGGGAAAAGCGCAGAGTCAGCGAAGAGGCTCTAGCGCCGCACCGCCATCGTTCGTGGATACTTGCGACCGATGGCGGTGTCGACGTTCCCAAGTCAGCAGGGGTTGGAAAGCTGCTTTCATCCCTCAATTCATCGGAGATAATAGAAAAGGCCAGTATAAACTGCGGTGCACGCCCATGCAGCTACAGGACGGAATCCCGTGCGCTGCTTCTAGCCCTGGAGAAGCTGATGATCCCTCGTATCCAGTACAGGCGTAAAACCCTGCTTGTGGTTACGGACAGTCAGTCTCTTCTAGCGGCTCTAAACAAGGGCCCGCTCAGTCAGACAGACTGGACGGAGGATCAGATCTGGCAGCGTCTCCTGACACTGGCGTGTGCTGGCTGGTCCGTGCACCTGCAGTTTTGTTACGGACATTGCGGAGTACATGCTAACGAGCCTGCAGATCAGTATGCGACGCAGACTATGGAAAGTGGACATTACACGGAGCAAGGAACCGCACCTTTATGGCATACGGATCTGCTGACATGTTTTACTACCCAGCTCACCAACAAGTGGCGTGGTACCATTCGTCAAGACACTCATCGCTACTTGCTTTGCGGCACAAGGCCATCCGATCTCAGCGGTAAGGACCTAATCACTCAGGAAGTTCTCCACCGTCAGGAACTGGTTCACCTCGCAAGGGCAAGGTGCGGGGAATCTGAGCTCTGGGGCCGACTATACTGGGCTGTGAGAGATTGCACGAACCAATGCCGATTCTGCAACATCTCACCGGAACAGTCTGCATATATGCGCTCTAACAACGATCCAACTGCACCGGGGACGGACACTGTTCCCCCGTCGGCGAGGGAGGAAGACGTCTCTCCAGTAAGGAGACGGACCCTCACACGCCGTCGGAAGGAGAAATGTCCGCACTGTGATTCCACATTGACGGGATTCTCGAATCTCGTCAGTCACTGTCGGTCATTTCGTCCGGAACATCCTCCACCGCTTCCCGAGCTCAAATGTGATTTCTGTGACATGGTCTTCCCCACACGGAGAAGCACCGCACAGCACAGAAGTCGCTGCGCACACAACCCAGACGCCACACGACATCGAAACAGCAGTGCCAGGAGGCGATCTCTGCTGCCGCAGGATCAGCCAGCTTCCACAAGCATGCCAATCGGACCGCAGGAAACCTTGCACCATCTGCTTCTAGAATGTCCAGGCACCTTGGCTGTGCGCCGACGGCTGGGCATTGAACAGGACCTTCGCCTCGGAAAGTTCTCTCAATGGCAGCTGCTTCATAGCAGGAAACTCATTTTGCTGCTCGACCACCTCTTCGGCACTCAGATGGCATTGTATAGCTAGACGCGCTGGTAAGAGTAGGAAAAAAAATATAATGACCTCATGACGTCCAATACCACCGATGTGTACGGGCGATGGGACTGTATCCATGGTCCTCGAGCACACGCCCCGCCACTAAGGAGCCCACAAACAGCGGTGCGTGCAGCAGCGCCACAGAAACCACATCTCCTTTAAACAAAAAAAAGATCTAAGAGAGTAAAGACGTCTGGTTCGAAGGTGACTTGTTCTTGCCGACGGTGAGCAGCGGCGAATGTATCACCTCGTGTGTGGAAACACCACTGCTGCCTCTGCTTTTGGGACTGTGTGTGGTTGTGGCAGTGTTCTGAGCCACGGAGTGTGGCGTTGCGACTTCTCACGGAGAATATTTGCCGCGTTCCCTACGGGCTTTCTTTTTTTGATGTTCTTTTTAGTGTTGTTTAATGGAACAATGGGAGTACCTTTTTGTTTTACTTAATGGTCGGTTGCTGCGCACCGTCATGAGCGAATTGCTTTCCCTCTTGATTGCTTCTGTTGCCTACACGCGGTACAGGCCCCACGGCTGTGCGTTCCACGGAGGACACAAAAGGAGGAGTGGAGAGACAGGCCGGATGCCGCATAAATGTGTGTGATATTGTGTGGGCTTGTGGAACAGTAATATTTTTTTCCTTGTGCAGGTACTGTACGCATGTACATATAAACACAGTCCTGCTTTGCTGCATGGCGTACGAAATGATGATTCTGCTGAAGTGTATTTTTTTTTTTGGAGGAGACTCCCGTTGGGCACTCAACTACTTTTTTTGTTTTGGTATCGCTTTTTTACTTCTGGTGTGCAGGTCAGTGTGCGTTCCTCTGCGGGGCTGCTGCCGTTGTTTACTGTGCGTATTTCTTTGTGATTTGTCTGTCTCTCTTTGCTTTCACTCTGCGTTGGGGTGTTGTTAGTTTGTGCTGAAGGCTGCACGCGAGTGACAGGAGTGGTGGCGATGATGATGACTGGCCGTGTGCTGCTGGTGTGTGCCCTCTGCGTGCTGTGGTGCGGTGCCGGTAGGGTTTATGCGAGGAACCCTGACAACAATTCACTGGGTGGCTGCATTGCGTCGGGAGGGTTTGGAAGGAAGAAGTCGTTTTTGTCAAACGGATCTATTAAAAACTTATCCACACCGCTTTTGCTGTCAGCATCGTTTATCTCTGCTATACAAGCCGAAGCTCGTGAAGAAGTTCCTTCTGCAGGAGTTACTAATTTACCTTTAAGTGGATCCACGGGTCTTAGTCCTGCTTTTTCCGATCTTGGTACCTCCAGTCCCCGTCCCACTGTTCCTGTTCCTGGTGCTGATGTTTCCGCTCATGTTCCTGCTATTCCCGGCCGTGTTCCTGCTACTCCTGGTCCTGCCGGTCATGGTCATGGTCCTGTTGGTCCCGGTCTTCGTGCTGCTATTCCCGGTGTTGATGTTCCCAGTGATGGCCCTGGTGCTATTCCTGCTGTTTCCGGTGTTCGTGCTGCTGATGCTCCTACTCCTGGTGTTGCTGTTCGCAGTGATGGTGCTGCTGCTTTTTCCGGTCTTGGTGCTGCTGGTCTTGGCGCTGCTGGTCCTGGTCCTCTTCGTGATCCTGCTTTTCCAGGTCCTGATGCTAATATTCGTGGTTCTGTTGCTCCCGGTCATGGTACTCCTATTACTGGTGCTGCTGGTCCCGGTGCTGCTGCTTTTTCCAGTCTTGGTGCTGCTATTCATGATGCTGCTGATCCCGGTGCTGCCATTCCTGGTGCTATTCCTGGCCCTAGTTCTGTTCGTGGTGCTGCTGTTCATGGTCCTGCTGGTCCCAGTGATGGACCTGCTGGTACCGATCATGTTCCTGCTTTTTCCGGTCTTGTTCCTGCTGGTCCCGGTGCTGGCCATTCTGTTGGTGGTGGAAGCAAACCTCCGGACTCTCGCTCTGTCGTTATTTCCTCAAGTCAAGGTGGCAATGGAAAAACAGCCCCGGTCAGTGTTTTATCCGATGAGCAGATTGCATCCCCAAAAGAAGTTTTGGCACAAAAAGAAACAGGGAGTGAGGGCACCTCTTCGCCCGAAGGACAGCCAACGGTGTCATCCAACAACGAAAAGCAACGAAACAATTCTGCCTCAGCAGGGGGTCACAGTCTTGGCCACGACGCCGCGGGAGACGAGCTCCAAGACTCTTTGGAAGAACAAAAGAAAAATGACCATTCACAAACGAACGAGACAAAAAAATCATCAGGAGACCAAAATACAGAATCCCAAAGCAGTGGAGGAGCACTCTCGGAAGTATCCAACACAACAACGCATGGGATAAAAACTCAACAGCCAAAGACAAATTCAGCAAATGAGAAGAACTACAGTCAAAACACGGATGCATCCCACACCACCTCCCCTCTTTTGCTTCTTTTTGTTGTTGCGTGTGCTGCTGCTGCTGCGGTGGTGGCCGCGTGAGAGTGAGGGAGAGAGAGCCGTGCACCGCCCGCACACACACTCGTCCTTCTCTCTGTGTGTGTGTCCCCTTGCATGGACTCTCGCCCTCACCTCACCCCACGAGACACACACAATAATGTGCCCATTGTATATATGCATGCACACCCATGCAGGCCCGTTGGTGCTCTCTTTTGCACGACACGCACCGCTGCCGTCCTGCCTGGCTGCATGGGCGGAGCACCGTAACTGTTTCTGTTTTGTTTTTATTGCATTGAGTGGGCGACCTCTCTCTCTCTCCCTGTGTGTGTGTGTTTTGCTTTACGGGAGTAATGAGAGTGTGTGTGCGCTGGTCGTCCTACGCTTCGGCTTTTTGTTTTGAATCTTTAATTTCTGTTGTGGTTGGGTGCACTCCTTTTACTTTCATTGATTGGTGACTTGATTAAACTGCGGACGGCTGAATTTTCCCTTTTGTATTCTCCTGTTCTTTGTTTCTTCCCACGCAATCGGTCCTTGTTGCTTCAGCGAGCCACGAAATATTTGCCTAACACCCACATCAATGGCTTACTTGCTCTACACCCCACATTAGTTTGAGACGCTGGTGCTGCTGCATGTGATGATGTTTATGGTGTGATTGCCAGCGGGTGCTTTGCTGTCACTTTGACGTACCCTCGATTTGTTGAATATGTGATGCGTGCCGACAGCACGAATTGGATCCGCGTTGTTGTGAGGGACGCACCCTTTTGAGCAGTTGGTGCGCTGCAGCCATACACCGTCATTGGGAGGGATGGACGCCCATCCGCATCAACGTATCCACAAGGGACCTGGATGATACCGGGAAGCATTGGATCTCAGAGCGTTACTACGCAATGAATTAATCGAATGACAATCGACACTGTGAAGGTGACTTTGTATCCTCTGCGCACGGGATCATTCTCGAGAATGAATTTGTCCCTGCTGCTGTCAAACCGCATGCGGATCGTCTGCTCGTGCAGCCACTGGAGGGTCCTTTGATTGTGCTCCCATTTGCCACGGGCAGCGTTTGCAGTCGGTTTACGGTGCGTGCTGTGCATTGTTCCACTGGTGTTGCCAATGCTGACATGGTGCTCTCCGCGGCAGAGCGCTGTCGGTGGTGGTGCACTCGACGACTGCCGTGATGGCTGCGAGGGAGCACCACGACTGCGACGACATTGATGGCATGGAGCTGCAGGATGGCGATGGGGACGGGAGGACGCTGGACTCGCACTGGTCGCAGCGCCACGCGAATGATGAGTGGATGGCACCGATTAGTTGTGTCGTCTGCCGCACGGAGCTGACGCTGGCCGCATCGGCTGACCTGGGCTGCATGAGGGTGAAGTGGGAGATGGTGGAGCCGATGCGCTGGTGGAGGAATTCGTGCTGTGCGCTGCTGCAGAGGAAGTGCTCCGCACCGAACATGAGTGAATATTCCCAGATGTTCAGTGAAGCGGGCATTAATGCCAGACGCTGCAAGTTGGATCGGTATTCCAGTGGTTGGTGTGTAGACGAAGTATCCATGAAGGGTCAGCAAAACGTCCGATGGACAGTTGCCCCATCACTGGTCCCGCACTGGATGTGAGAGATGCTGCCGCTGTTATTTGGAGGGGAGAATATTTGTCTGCGGTGCCTGGTGACATGCCCTCTTCGTGGTGTCTGGACACGCTTCCCACCAACACGACGGCTGCGAGGGACCCGGAAGAAACATACATCTCGGTGCTGTCATGCATGCGGCATTGCGGTGCCTCGGCATGCGGGTGCGTCTGAGAGTGACTGAAGAGGGCAACGCCCGCTGTGCCCCATGCACGGCCGAGGCGACGATTACGTGGGTTGCTCCGCCCTACGACGAGGGAAAAGCTATTTTCCGTGACCACGCGCAGGTGTGCACGATATCCGTCACCAGCGGCAGGCTGCTTCCAGTGGTTCCGTGGGACGGCGATGTGAGAGGGTGTGGAGCAGGACGGTTTCACTGGCATCTACTGAACAAGCTTTGCCACGGGCATCCGTCCCCGATCCAGAGAGCATTGGGACCGGCCGTGGCACACCACCGAAGTATTTGGACACGGCTGCTCCCCAGAAGCATCCGTCGCCAGAGGAGAAGGAGGTTGCCTCCGGTGCCACGACGGCAACGGGGTGCTCTTGCCCAGCGACACCGCGGGTGCGCCGCAGGAGGCGGAGAAGGAGAGCGATCTTCCGGACATCAACGATGTGGCCGCCGATGGTGTGGCGTCTGTTGTCGGACAATCATTAGGAGATGAGGCTGCCAGCGACAAGGCCGGTGGCGGTGCCACAGCCACGGGACCCAAGAGCCCTGATGCCGCTGATGACGCGCAGGGCGCCGTGGACCCTCCGCCGAGGGAGGATGATGCGGCGGTGGTGCGCGGGGTTGGGAGGCAGACATGAAGGACGCCTCGCCTCCGATCCACGGCAGTAACACTGCGGCTGCTGCTTGTCCCTTTCCGCTGGTTCTTCTGCTTGCCGCTGCCGCCGCGGTGCCAACACTCAGCAGTGGGTGCAAGAGAGAAAGGCCTACATCAACTGGCATTTTCCTATCAGTATATATACATACGCTCTGCTTGTCCGTATACTTTGTACCAGGGACATGCTGTATGCACTCTCCTCTTTTGTGTTGTTCGCTGATGTGGCGGCACCACGCGTGTATTATGGGTTGGGATAAGAAATTGTTTGACTTCTTCCGGAGGATACTGTGGTGTGTTTGTGTGCCTGTGCGAGGGATCTGTGTTGTTTTGATTTCCCTATTTTTATTCAGCTGCCTTGGCATTGTGTAATGATACTTCCCTTCTCCATTATGTGTGTTCTGAATTGTTGCTAGGGCACCGGGAGTGGATGCCTGTGGACGCACGCCGTGGATTATGCGCTACATTGGTGCGAGGGGAGACTGACATAACTGGCGGGATTCAGTAAGGCGTATTCTGCCCACAGACCCTGCAGCTGCAGCAGCCTGAGTGGCGCTTTGCATATGGACGTGTGGATTGTTTCCCTCTTGCGAGGCCTTTCTACTGCGTGTCATTTTCCGCTCGGGTACCGTGCCCGTGGCAGCAGCGGCGGCATCAAAAGGGCTGTGTGCGTGGAGAGTCCTTGATCGAGTGCCTGTCTTACTTCTCTGTTCTGTCGATTGATTGTACCGTGTGCGGGCCAAACGGTTTACATGACGTTCTTCTGACGGCGGGGTCCACGTGACATGATGTTGCGTCGCGTGCTTTGTTGCGGGTGTGTGATTTCCGCAACGGTTTTTGGGCGGTTGACTGTTGGGTCGTTGAGGGCGGCGTGGCGACGGGTGCGGATGGACCCGATTGTGAGCCGTGGCTTTTCGTGCGGGGGAGCCGCGGGAAGGAGGAAGGCAGCGGAGTGATGGACTCACGAGGAGTGCGGTGGCGTGCAGCCATGAAGATTGGCGACAGGGACTCACTGCCGCTGTGAGTTGCCGTGTGTGGTGTTTGTTTCTGTTATTATTACTTGCGTTGTTGGATGTGGCCGCTGTGGGGGAAGACTGTTTTTTGTTTCTTTTTCACGCCGTTTTGGGATTCTTTTCTGCACCGGCATCACTGTGTTCCTGCCGTACTGTTGCGCCCTCTTTCCCTTCCATTTTGGGGGCAGCTGCGGGTGGGTTTTACACGCCGTGGAGTTGTGTGCCGTGCTGTCCGGTGTTTCATTGTTGCCTGTTCTTCCTGCGTGCACGCGTCCCCCATGCTCATGACAACAACCCTCATGCAAACGCTACTCCTCCTTTTCCATGCTGCTGATGTGTGTGCTCTTCTCCTCCTCTCTTTGTCCCTCCCTAGACTGTGTGTGCAGCCGTGATGATGACGATGACTGGCCGTGTGCTGCTGGTGTGTGCCCTCTGCGTGCTGTGGTGCGGTGCCGGCGGTGGTGGATGTTCTGAAACACCTCAAGTTTCTCAAGACATTACGCCCGTCAATGACGATGATTCTAAAA